AAACCTGCCGGACTACTTTCGGCTTGACCAAAACTGGACGAGAACTCTGCTCACAGGACGCTGCCAGGGGGTAAGTCAGTGTGATTGCATGACACTGGTGATGGGGATGCCATACAGATTCATGTCAAAAATCCCGAACTATCCCTTTAAGATGTATGGATACATATTTGTTCATAAAAGCCTCCTAGTTCTTTTTTCTCAGATTTTTTGTTCTTTTTCAAGTAAATGAATCATTGTCAAAGTGGGTTTCACTGACCTTTGGCCCTGGGCCATAGGTTCCAGTTAAACCAACTGTTATTGTGCTCCTTCCAGGTCAAGAATGTTTTGATTAAAAACTTTTATAAAGACATAACTTACATTACTAACATATAAAAATGTTCTTATGTCAATATCAAAAAATTATTTTAACTTGAAGCCAAATCCTTGAAAAAGTAATATTTGTGATATCTTTAAAACATAAAGTATCGATTATGAATTTTATTCAATTCAATTCAGTTTATTTCTATAGCGCCAATTCACAACACATGTCATCTCAAGGCACTTTACAGTTCACCAGATCATACAGCCAAGTTGATTCAAGGTTTTCTATCTAAGGAAAACCAGTTGATTGCATCTTCTCACTAACTCGGATGCAATCCCTCACACTAAGCATGCTTGTAGCGACAGTGGGGAGGAAAAACTCCCTTTTAACAGGAAGAAACCTCCAGCAGAGCGAGGCAGAGAGGTGTTACTATGTTATCTGTTACCTTTGTGCTTTGCCCGTCTCATTGTGTCATATCACTTAATCTGTTGGAGTGAGTCAAATATATCTGGGATTATGAGAGTGACTCAGTGAAGGGAGGGTTTAGGTGGAGCTGGCCTGGTATATTACAGGAAACAGGGGAGTAAAGACATACAGAAAATAAAAAGTTATAAAAGCTTATCATCAGAGCATGAAATTAAAATCTGTTAAAACTGGTAACTGTACAGAATTTTCTAACACTTCTCATGGGTTTATACGTGTAAAAGCTATTATCAAACAATTGGCAAATTAAGATATTCAGAATTTGGAATATAAACTATGTATCATCAACTCAATGCTAAAGCAAGGGGAAAAACAAATAATGAGACTGTGGTTGTTAGAAACAAGGGTTCACAGCTTATAATCTTTGTTCTTTATCAATGAATATAAATTAAAAGAAAAGCTTGAAATGTGGCATCAGGGTTACTAAACACTTTCAAAGTCAAAGTAAAAAGTTAAAAGGTGATAATCCCCCGTTCATTCATCAATCCATTCATCCAATTATAAATAATGAAAATTTATATATAACTAAAAGTAACTTTTGAACTGATTAAATTTAAAAGAAGGCTCCCAAACTGTCCACCTGAGCCCAACATTTGGTTTAGTGTACCAACATTATCTGTAAAGTTGTTAAGAAGGTTCAAAACAACAGTCAGATACCAATCTAGTATCTAATATCTATTCCAGGAATGGTTCTCTTTAGTCCTCTAACTATGATCCTAACGTTGGTAAACCAAGTCCTTACAAACCTGAGGCACTTCAGATAATTACTGGAAAACAAACGAGGATAATGGCGATTTTATTGGTTCGTCTAAATTCTATATTGAAAATGTTCATACTATAATGCTATGTGAAAATAAATTATGATGTATATATATTTTTTAATACCATATATTGTTTGAGTTGGACATGCAGGCGCGAAAGCTGCATGAATGCAAATTTAGGAAAAGACATTTACTTGAAGTTATGTTTTGGGGATTAACATATCACCTCAACAATGTTAATTTTTTTTACTTGATATGGATTTTTAATAAATAGAGACATTATGGAGTTAGAGGTTGGTAACTTTTGTTCTGTTGAGTTCAGATTTAAACTCATGAATCTCTTCTAACAAGTTGTACATAAAAAAAAATGCTTTTTGTAGACCCCTACAAGCATAATTGGATAAAGATAATAATTACATAAAAATAATAAGTTAACTATAACTAATGGGGTAAAAAAAAAAAAGTTGCCAGGGTAAAAATCAACCTGCACCACTAGTAAACAAAACATCACTGCAGCATGATGCTCACGCCACCATGCTTGATGGTTGATGTTTAACGGTTTGAAATCCTCAACTTTCCTCTTTTCACATATCTAACATTTCTTTTTTTCCCTAAAAGGTGTCTGATTTTTTTCCATTTGGCCAGCCACAAATGTAAGTTAAGCTTTAGCTTGAAGGTGTAGATATGATACAGACGTTATTTTTGTCAGCTCTGTCTCAGGCAGTTGGAAATGTTATTGACACTTGTGTTCCGTTCTCTTCCAGTAAGGATATACTTCAGCCTTAGTGATTCTTGGATGTTTCCTGTAAAAGCAGAAGAACAATATGGACGGTTCATAAATTGAGGTCAAAGTCTAACATATCTTAAAAACATATTTTAAGATATGTTTAGATAGAACAAATTGGTCAACTTTCAGTACTTTTAATCAGTAATGCCCTTACATGAATATGCCATTGCACATCAGCTGCCAGTGCTGAAGCACATGCTGTGTGTTTTCTTTAGATAATTATTCTGACTCATCATGGTAATCTTTCAAGGAGTGTGTGGTGTTAATCCATGCACAGTTTTCTTCTTTTTTTTTTTTTAAGCTGTCAAGACGCCACCCTACTAATAAACCACCCGTGTTGACCTCAGCTCTGTGAAACACAATTGTTAAATTCCAGTATGAGGACCGACAGCATGGCACCGCTTCATAAACTGCAGCCTCTCTTTGATGTGCTGGTTTTTGTGGAATGAAAAGGAAAACCTCATGGGCTGGGCTTTTCTTCATCTCCACCACTTCCTTTTTTTAAAACTCCGCTGGCATCTGCCTCTCAGCTTATATTGACCAAAGGTTACGTGTTTGTACTCACTGTGCTGGGAATGTGACTACCTGCAAATCATTTACCTGTTGAACAGAGGGTCATTTCAGAGAGCAAAGCCAAAGGACTGCCCTGTATACAGCGAGCTGCATGTGACTCGGCTCCACATGGGAAGTAAGGAACACTGCTAACATGCAATTAGATGTTACTATTTTGTCACTGCCCTGCCCTGAAGGAGCACAGGGTTGCTGGTTGTACACTATGCCAGGAAAGTCCAAAGTTTTCAGTGTACATTTAAAAACGTTGTGTATTATTGAATAGATGATTCTTGAAATGAAAAACAAGCCCACTAATTTTTCCCAAACAGATGTTTTTTTATTATCTTTGAGTCTTAAAATGAGCACTGAGAGAAAGATGATTATAGCTTTTGCAGGACCTTGGCCACAGTGCAGAGTAAATGAAATGCAAGACCGTCCTCTTTAAGGGCTGTAAAGGGATTTTGATACTAAAAGCTCCCTTTTCTATTCTATAATCTTGCACTTTGGCCAAATGGAAAGCTGATGCAAACTCCTGTCTGTCTCACTTCCTTTTGCTGTTTCACTTCCAACCATTTCTGGCTTTTAGTAACTGGAGAAACTTACAAAATCATGTTGGTCCCTAACCTACATCTCTAAATGTTTATTATAGGAGGAGAAATTTGTAAAATTCTTCAAGAAAAAAATGTGGTTAAATGAGAGTTTTGCGCTTGTTTGCATCAATATATATAAGATATTACTGCAGGGAAAGCAGGACTGATTAATAGGTGAATTTTACTGGCTTTTGTGTAATCAAGATATGGTATGTTTAATGAATAAGTCAGTTGGGCTCTGAGGGAATTGAATTTAGTGGAAGCTAGGAGGTATTAGCCTGACGTAGTCCGACTCAATTCTAGTCAGAATATGAGTCTGATACTGCTCCATAGAGCTGTGATTGTGGGGCGTGTTTCGAACGAACCAGGAAAAAAAAATGCCTCTGCACTCAATTGGATAGACCTACAACCAATAAGAGCAACGGAGTGCNGCCCTGACAGTTTGATTGGATCGCCAGAGGGTGGGCGATCATACTCGCGCTACTATGGAGCAGAGCCAGACCGAACTTCCCCGACCTCAAACTTTGTGGGCGGGACTAAGTTCGGAATGGCACCCAGGCTAAGGAGGTATAACAATTCAAAGGGTTTTTATGTGCACCTCTTGTCAAATACAAATTTAGTAAAAAGAGGTTACAGTCATAGAATATTTTCAGAGGGTGCTAGTTGGCTTAAAAAGCCTTTAAATGAAAAAAATATCTCAATTATCATTTAACTTAATTGCATATTATCATAAGACACCTTGTTTAGTGTATTTTGGTTTTAAACCCCTTATAGGCTAGTTAAATCTGATGTAACTCAACAGCTTAGGACAGCTGATCTAACCAAAATAGAATTCAGTTTCCTCCTGCAAGTAAATATTTATCACGCATACTTATTCATTTAACCACATTTTCTGCCAAAAGATTTGATAACTTGGAATAATCGGATGTTGATGCAGATACATAGTGTAGTGTCGCTGCATAACATCTCATAACAGACGACTCAATTTTGTTCCAGAATAAAAAACTATGCATAAAGTTAAAAATATTATCTACATCTACTCTACTCTATATTAAGGTTTTGATGTAATCAGGCAAAAAAACTGTCTATAAAGCAAACAAGCAGGAGGGTAAAACATCTATAATATATGGTATTTTATTTCAGATAAGAAATTGACAAGCACTCATTAAGCAACATATTAAAACATTTGTGCCATCAGTCTAAACTCAAGATGGCTCCTTAAAATAAATACTTTTTAAGAGGAAATAATACAGAGAGAACAGGCTCAAACCACACAGACAAACAAATTACCAAATGTTCAAAAGACGAATGGGTCTGAAAACTCCCAAAGTCAACCCCGACTCTCCAACATAAAGAGTTTGTATAAAACATTTAAGCATCTTTAAAAATACAGAATCTTACAAAAAAGGGTTTTTATCTCCTTGCTTTCTCATGTCACTGTAAAATATCAGCTGGTATCATGACAAGAAATCAAGAATCCCTCCCCCCTCCATGTGGAATAATAAAAAGACAGAATGTGCTTCTGCGTTCTTACATCAGTATTCACATATATCATAAGTAAACCGTGTCATCAAAGTCCTCTTAGGTCCTGGTGGTGCTTTGATGGAAACGGGTGTCCAGCAAAGGGCTGCTCAACATTGTCCCTTTGAGCTGAGGTGTCAGCAGTGATGATGTCAGAGATGCAGTCAGTCCTTCACACCAAGCATCTTAACACCTTTTATTCCCCATGTGTGTAAAACAGTACATTTAATCCAAATGTTCATCGTCTTTATAGGTTATACCACCAAGGGTGTTCACATTTTAGTAAAAAAAAAAAAAAAAAAAAAAATCTGAAAAGCTAACTTTTGACAGTTGTCAACTTTTAAATGGTAACAAAAAAGTTAGAGAATAGTCATCAAGTGAGGATTTCAAGAATACATCTTACATTAAAAAAGAAGGTGAGAGCCAGGTTTTGACGTAGGAAGCATGCGTTTGCCCTGCTCACCCTTAAAACCCTCATGCGAAGACAAACTATGTAAAAGGCCACATGGCTTTTCCTTCACTCTTAAATGCACGTGCATTCAGACTGTTGGGAGGAGACTGATGAAAGGTGCTTTAACTGCTCTTGGTAGTGTAAGAACTCCATTATAAAAGTTAAGGATGTGTTTGGTAAATCAGAGGGCTCCTGAAATGATCCGAGCTCTGGTTAGAACCAACACAAGAGAGGGCTATCTGGTTTCTGCTAAGGTAACAACAGATGTTTAGTATTGTTGCGTATTTTGTTTTTGATGCCCTCTTCTTTTGTAACATTTAAAAAAAAATACAAAAAAATTCAGTTTTTCTGGGTTCTGGCTTTTCTTTTTCTTATCATAGATAGTAACCGGCGTAGGTTTCATTGTAAGCACATTTTTAAATGAAATTATCTATTATGTTTAATTTTTAAAAAATGTAATAACCAATTTATTTATTTATCCATTTTCATTTCTTCCAGGATCTGTGGGTTTGTTCGAGGAGTATACTGGGATGTAAACAAAAGGTATGTGGGCATGAGGTTTAATCAGCTTGGTTCCATCTTCAATGGAGAATGTTTGAACTTTTCCAGAGCTTCTTTTAGCTTACAGATGCCCCTTATTTCTACATCATTACCACATTTGTTTAGGTTGGTACTGCAGAAAAAAAAAAATTAAAGTATAACTCAAGATAAACACTCTAGGCACTGTTTGATTTCAAAGGCTTTACATTGTAGAGGGCGATTACAAGGTCAGCAAACATAAAGAAACTCAAATAAAAAACGAAAAGTCAACGAGTGACAGTTCTGCAGACCAAACATTTCCCCTCTAGTTCCTTAAAGTCAGCTCGTACAACCAGACTCCCTTTAAGCTCCGGGGTGGAGAGGCTGTGAGGGCAGGAAGTATATAAAGGGTAAATGTTTTGAAGTTTTTAAGGTTAATTATCAGTTCTGGTCTTTAACCTTTCTTTCTCCTTCATAACAAAAAATAAAAACAATGGATCTTAACCCATTATCTTCTGGGGAATATCTATAGAAGCCTTGATGAAGATGCAGTTGTCTCGGATGTAGTTCCTCTTCTTGATTTCTTCGTGTGAGATGAACTTGGGATAGCCGAAGCCCAGGGTGCTCTCGTCCAGCGAGTTGCGGCTGCTGCTGGGCTTCTGGAAGTTCTTCCAGTTGGGGTCGGGGTTGAAGGTCTCTGTGATATGCTGAGGTTTGGAAAGAGACGGGTCGCTCTGGTCCAGGATGGAGAACGTCACCTTGTAGGAGAACGGCCACTCTAGTAGGTTGTCGTACTCCCCCGGTAGAACGCGGATGTAGACGGACAGATGGGAGCCCTCGCCGCTGCCGTTGCCGTTCAGGAAAGCTGACACCTGCAGTTTGTAACCGTAGCGGTGAGTGTAGAACGGCGGGCTGAAGAACTCGTGGTTGCTCCGGAGTTTGGCTTCCTGCAGTTTGCGAGAGTAGTCACTGAGTTTCCAGATGAGGACACCGTCTTGGCTGACCGACAGCTCCTCCATCTCTCTTCGCAGCTCTAGAATTTCTTGCCTTTGGCGTCCAACCAAGTTACACATCAGGGTAAGGTGGGACTTGGTGGTCTCCTCCAGGTGACGGCCAATAGCCAGTTTAGGGCACTGTGGAGAGAAAACAGATGAATCATGTCTAATTTTTCATCTGAAAAGTGCTCATGCTGATAAACAGCTACATTATTGGAGTCCTGTGTTATTTAACATTATAGATTCTAAATACATTAGATTGAATTTATCTTTTATTCAAATAAAATATCTTAGAGTTATTGTTACCAAGCTGACATGTGTTTAAAATGATTGTTTAAGCTCAGGAGCTGCTCCTTTGCAACTTTATCACCTCTGAAATGTAAGAAATCATAGGGATATTACCTGGCAGGATAATTGACCACTTATTTTTTCCATAATCGAATTCAAATTAATGTATTACTTTTATATTTAAGTTTGTTTTTACTTTAAGCTTTTTATTTTTTTAAATATTTTTCCAATGAGGAAAGCTTAGTTATATAGTAATCATTTTCTAGTTTAACGCTTTTACTAAAAATGAATTTGTAGCTTTTGATGGAGGCCAAACGTCTAGGAAACTAGATAGGAAACCAGACTTAATTTGCTCTTTATTGGGGAGTGCTTATTTTCTACAGGTATCTGTGTGCTTCCACCTGACCATAACTTTGCCCCTGATATATCTGGACCCTTCTATAATGAACAAATAAATGTTGTGTCACTTATAAATGTCTATTCTGTTATCTAAGCCATAAAGGTGCCAAACAGAAGCATTAGGCCTAGCTACCAAGGCCAGAAAGAAAATATGATTTAAAAAAAGCATCCTGGTGAATGATTAACACTAATAGCTGCGTTACAATGCAAATTCCTCCAGAGATGGGGGGTTTCAGGAGAACGGACAGAGGTCAGCCTTACCCTGTGTTTGCAGCCGGCATCTTTGAAGGGACAGAGGACAAGCGCATTGCCGCAGTTGTCTTTCACGTGATTGGCCAGGTCCTCCCGGGCGATGTTAGGAGTGCCGCACTGGTTTGGACACTGGACAGGGAAGCGTGGGCAGTGATATTGGTGGTTCTATAAAGAAAAGAATGAAAACAATAAACATTTTGTTTTGTTTTTTTCAAAGAAGAGATAGTGATGCTTTCATTTCATTATTTAACTGCATTTTCAGGCATCTTACAGGTGAATGCTGTTTGATCATTTTGATTTCAATAAACTAAATGGCAGATAGAAAACCTTTTATCAACTAATATTACTAACTTTATTTGACCCAATTGTATTCTAAATATAAGCAAACAGGCATGCATTTAACTGGGCAATTGAATTGTGCTTAATAGAAAATAATAAAAATTGCATTTTGTAAAATGCTATTAAAACTAAAGAGATGAGCTTAAATGAACGAGTTGATCGAGCAAAAAGTATGTGTAAAGAATCAGACAGCAGAAATCATTAAAATGGTCAGAAGAGTGAGAATAGTTGCATTGATCACACTATAGTGAAAATCCAGAACAATACACAACATCAGCTGTTTCACACTGCCATCCAGATTAGTTTAGTTCAGCACGTCTTGACCTAGTATGTGAGAGGAAGGGAAATCATTGCGTTCCCTTTTGTCGAAGAAGTGCTGAGAGGAAGGTGCTTTGAGTTAAAAGCATTAATGGCAGCATCCAGCTGGAGAAGGACAGAGACACCCTGAATGGAAACATCCTGCTGCTACAGCACTTCTTTGACCTTCTTTGCTCTGCTGAGGCCTCAGACAGAAAGCTGCTGCAGTGATACTTCCATGAAAAGAAATGTATCTCTGTCCGTCGTCATGTCAGATATGGGTTGGCTCTTATTCACCATATAAACATTTTTATAAAAAACGGTTTTTGGTCTTTTGCTTCATGTGAAACCCACCTGGATTGTGTCGAACACAAATTCTTTTCCGCAGTACTTGCAGGGCTGTGTGCGTTTGGGACACTCGGCCATGCTGTGTTGGGACAGCAGGCGACGCATCATCCTCGCCCCACATTTATTCTCACAGTAAACGCTCTCCTGAGGACACACACCCTGGTGGTTCTGGGAAAAATAACAACAAAACATGAAACAACAATGTGATTAGGGAATCTATCAATTATATAAATATGTAAAAAAAAAAAACTGATTGAATGAGGAAGGGTGTGGAAAGGAAGGAAATAAAGAAAAGATGAAAGGACAGGTGAGGGAAGAGGGATTACAACTAAACATGGAATAGAAAAGGGATTACCATACTCTTGTTTTTATTCTTTATTCAGATTTTTTTCCAGACTGCATAGGAGCCTTTAGTATTTTAGTTTGGAAAGGTGGTTTTGAAGCTGAGTTTTTTCTTCCAACAGGATGTCAAACTGAACATTCTGAAACTTGCTTTCCGAGGTCTGAAAAGCCACTTTATGATTTTCAACAACATATACTGAGTTTAAGCAGTGAATGTTCCAAAAACTAATGAACCAAACCTTCCTAAAACATGTCTTTAACGTTTTATATAATTGTGCATTTGAAAGAGGAAGGTAGATTGAGTCATTCTGGAAAGGTGTGCAGAGTAAACAGGGCAGAGTCTGGATTAACAGAAGTGCCAGTGAGCAGCATGAGGCGCCTCAGCTCACTCGCTAAGGAAAAAAAAAACAAAAAAAAAAAAAACACCTCTTAGTATAAGAGATGCAGTCAAAGTTTAGTTGAATTCCTCAAGCACTTATGTTAGCGGAAATATTTTTCCTAAAACTCAGACGCACAGCTATTTCTTTCATTTGACATCATGAGTCATCTCTCCATGTATTGTGCCATCAAAACTGTGTTTACCTCGTAAGCCTCGCCGGTAAACTCGCTGCCACAAAACTCGCACTTGACCTTGCGTTTAGGGCAGTCGTGCTGCAGGTGGTCCGGTAAGTCACGGCGGGTCAGCTTGACGGAGCAGCGGTTGGGGCACGGTATCACGTTGAAGGCGCAGGTGGAGAAGTGGCCCTGAAGAAAACATACAGACATGTTTAGCATATTCACTTCATGTGTTGTTGGGCACTGAAGCAAGTGAGTGAGAGAGGAGTGGAGGAGGTAAGAGCTTCTTCTCACCTGCAGCTGCTTCATCTGTCCGGTCCAGCGGCAGCCCTCTTCGCTGTGGATGCAGCGGATGGGCAACGCCAGAATCTGCTGCTCCAGCTCTGGGTCTGGGTAGATCTGAGGGTAAAAAAGTGGCATGGAGTCAGGGTAGTAGATTTAATCAACAAATATAGACACACAGCAACCTCCATATTTATACACCTTTGGTCAATAAAAAAAAAAAAAAAAAAAATAGTAATTCATCTTTTTTTTATGTTGTTGATCTCTAACGATGAGCCATTTTCCTCTAGTCATTTCCAAAACCCTAGACTAACACACATCATCCCAGGGCTGCATGATTCATTTATTAATTACAATTCCCTGCTAAAACAGAAGATGGGAAAACAAATTTTTTCCCCACTAATGTACTGCTTGGGCTTCTGTAGTTCAGAGTGATTCCTGCCCGCCACCTTACTTGAAAGTGATAAACCAGCTCATGGTGTAAGAGCTGCCTTAGCTGCATACGTTTCTTCTTATATTTGCATCGTTTACCACAGCGGGCCTGACAACTTGCTTTTAACAGCTTTTCCTACCACTAAGAAGGAAAAGTTTTTTTCTTCAGGTTGGAATAAAAGATTTGTACATTAACTCCCAGGACTTTATCTAGACCTTTTAATTTCCATACAGGCTTATATTTACATTTTGTTCTTCCCTTATTTAAGTTGACACATTTTTTGTAGAGTTTACGCTTTATCTGATTGGAGGAAGGAGTGTTCGTAAGGTTCTTCTATTTATGGACTTTGACACATACTACAAAGTCTAGTTTAACCAGAAACCCACTGTCAGCCAAGAAATGGTAGTAAAGAACTGCCTTCTTTTAGTTTAAAACTACACAATTATCAGCTGCAAGGCCAGATAATTGGTTTGACTGTGTAAATAACAGATATTGGAAAGAATGCATTGTTTTTACTGAGGTGCACAGAGAACTTGAGGAATTTGGCTTTATTTTCCAGGAAGAAACCATCATCATGATGCAGCACAGTGAGTCAGAGCTGTCATTGCACTGATAATAATGAACTTTATGACTATATGGGACCTCAGAGAAATAAGATGTAAAAAAAAAGGAGAGAAATATGTATCTGTGGTCACACAACAATGAAAAGGAGAAAGTATACAGCTACAATCCCCCCAGATCCTCCCGACTGGGTTGTTGTCCTGTGGCTTTAAAGTTGTGAAATTAAGCTTTGTCATCCTATCAGGGTAAAAAAAAAAAAAAGAAACTGGTCAAACAAGAAAAGCCACTTCCTAACAAATGTCACAGCAGCCCTCTAAACAAATCACAGCTTAACAGTTGCGCTTTGATCAACTGCACTGAAACTTTGGAGGAAATTGCAGTTAAATAACAAAAAAATATATAAATATGTTTAATCTTAAAACCTACAGAAATTACAGACATGTAAGAGATTCAATCCAGATTCTGAGAGGAAGCACGTTTTTTTTGCTGCTGTGGAAAAACTCTGGAAAAGAAGAAAAACGCTAAATCCCATAAAGCAAACTGAAGCATTCTCCCATTGTCCCAGTCTTGGAATCTGCAGAGACGGCAGCAAGCATGACCTTTTAATAACTTAGTCTCATTGGGGAGGAGGTTAAGCTCTTTGGTTGAAGATGGGGGTTTATTCTGTCTGCTGCAGCAATTTCAGCCCTTCAATACAACCAAAGCAGCAGTGGCAGCAGTGCAATCCTTTAATGACTGCAGCGCTGTTCTTATGTGGCTGCATGGTTGTGTTTATGCACGTTTTTGGAAGGACAGTGTGCAACGAGCATCACGGTAACCCTGACAGGAGACCACCAGGATGGGGTAATTTGCAGGCGACTAGGAGCCTGGGAGCGCCTTGGTAAATAACAATGTCTGACAGGTGTGCCATGAACACATCCTTCCCTTGGGGGAGTCCCTGCTATTACAGGCGCCTTCATAGCTCCTAGCACCAAGCTGCTGCTGCTCTTATCCCTCTCCAGTTCAGGCTCCTCCCATTTTCCCTTTAAGTTTCTTTGCCAAAATGAATTCCTTCCTCACTGTCTCTGCAAACACTTTGCACATTTCAGGAAGTTATTTTCTTTCCTTGTTTAATCCATATTCCAAATAACATTAAGTGATCAGGTTTTTGTCTTCATGGTTCCAACATGACCTTCAACTCTCAGATCTATTTACCACCTAGAAATCTTATCGGCAGATTGCAGGATTTTAAAATAGCTTCTTTTACAAACAGAGAGCAGATACAGTGAATAAAAGTTAGGTATGATATGACCCATATTTCTAGGTGTTAGTCAGAGATCTCGCAGCAGCAGTTATGGACATAAAGATACTAAAAAAATAAATAAATAAATAAATAATAAAAAATGACCCAAGAATGGAGCCTTGAAGAACACCACATATGATCTTTGAAAATGGGTTTTAAAACTACCAAATGAAACATCATCTGAGACAATCCACAAAATACAAGATAATCCTGGCCCGAAAATCTATCGATCAGATAGATCGACTTCTATAGATTGATATAAAAGTTGTAGCAACGCAGTTTAAGCAGCTGAATGTGGCAGAATATTAGACTGAGGAACGCTTATGAGATGGGTTCTGTAAAAAGGATTAAAACCTATGGCGAGACTATTACCTACATGTTTTGCAGACAAATATTCATTATTATTTTCAGTGCTTCTTCCATGTTTTTGGTTGCTTGTCTTATAGACTGAATAAGGCTAAATCTAACAGATTGCTCAAGAGAAAAACCCTCAAAGCTGAAGCAAGCTGATTCTTCCCGTATTCTTGTGCTTCAGGTGCGTTTGAATGCAAAAATCATACATAAAGAAAACTTGCCTCTGAATACAGCCTTCATCTCTCTGCCATCTAAAGACAATCTGTTTAACTACAGGGGTAACGGTCAAACATATTTCTCAAGATCATGATCCTGCGTAATGATACAAAGTACTACCGGTACCTCAAACTGTGTGAAAACCTGTTTTACTGCCTTTATGGGTTACAGAAAATCTGAGACACAGAGATTGAGGTTTTTACTGCAACATTAAGTCAAAGTCAAGGGATCAAAAGAGCTGTTCTCTTAACCAATCAGAGCCTGATGGGTTGATATGAGTTACAGTACATACACAGATACCAGATGTTAGCAGAGCTTGTCAGGTTAACACTCACAGCCTCACTGGATTTAAAACAACTGCCCGTCTACTCTGGGGTCAGATATTTGTCCTTGTAGGACCAGATGCTTGGATGTGTATTAGCTTTATCTTGATTCTGCCATTTTTTTGTAACCATTTTAACTTTATTTTCATCTAAAAAGCAAATAAAACATTTTATTTTGTTTTTTCTAACCTAAGCTGGAGGAAAATCAGACCCCTCCACTCACACTTACATTGTTTCCGTAATCAGCATTGTTGCCTTTGCAAACTATTTGCTAAGGGAGCATACAAATACTGATTACATTTATTCCTTTTCCATTTGTTTTCACCTTTTCAAATGTGGAAATGCTATTAAGGTTGAGGTCAGTAATCTGGTTATCAATATTTGACTATTTCTGAAGTTTATTTAATATAATATGATTGAATGACTGGAACAAGGCTGCTATACTTTCTATCATCTACAGAGAGACACATTTAGCTGTTGAGTCATGATGTGCAAACTAAATGAACTTAGAATCAAACTGTGTAAAGGGAAAATTGTGCTAAAACTACAGGAGTTATGTTGTGCTCACAGTAAATGTATCTTGATCGACCAGAGAGATCGATTTATATGTAGAGATGTGCTTAAGAGCGCTTTTATGCAAAGTGAGGCAAAGGACCCATTTCTAATGATGAAAATGCCCCGATTGATGCGATTACAGCAATGCGATGTGCAGCAATGGTCACCTAAGATGAAAATCTGAACGTTTTAATCTTTTTTTGAGTCGCAACAACCAATAGGGATGGCTGTGATGGTGGAACAGCGCAGATTAAAAATAGCATTAATATAGGATGAAGTAAGAAATTATGCTAAAAGGATGTTTGCTTTAAAAAAAAAAAAGATTTATTTTAGCCTTAGAAAGGTCAATAAAATCTTTTATCATTCATCCTCCTCTTGTTGCTCTGAAGATGGCATCGGCCACCTGTGGCTGGCGTCGCGCTCCAATCTACCGCTATCCTTCTCTGCTCTTCGGCTGTCTTCCTTAGCTTCACAGTAGCGCACGGCCAAATGCCTCTGCCCCATTCTAGTTCACTCTCTACACAGGTCCGTGTTTTGATCTCTCACTCCAGCCTCACCTTGCCTCTAGTATCTGGGTGATACTCTCCCAAAGCCAAATAGTTTCCAGTCCTGGTCAGATTGAAACGACGTGGAAATCAACCTTGATCCAGTCCTAGCTTCTGGACTCCCCAAACTAGGAACATCGCTGCAGGATCTGGTGGAGCTGATATTTGACTCTTATTGGCTGACTCTGTAGAATCCAGGTCCCCCATGCGGAGTTGAACCCACAACCAGCAGATAAATAGAAACTCCTATAAAGCAACAGGTGTGGCGCTTCTGGCCATACTTGTGTAAATATTTTTACCATTGATTTATCTCAAGGTTCTCACCATGAGAATCATATAGTGGCCCACGGCTAAACCACAGACAACTTGAACTGGATTTAATGAGTACCCAACACATGTGACATAAGACGGGAGGCCTGATTGGAACTAATGCATGTTACTGCTTGCTGTAAGCTGCAAATATGTGAGAGTGAACATTAAAAAAAGGTGTGGGCTGCCCAAAGCAAAGCTAAATGCTCATCAAATGAGCATAAATGCATTAAACCTGGCAAGATTTGCTAGCACAATAACTGAGTTTCTCCTGTGAAGTCATGAGGTGGTGTCAGTGTGCATTCATACCTTGGCATAGTCTAATGGCAGTTGGTCCTCTGGACATTTGAAGACACCCTCACTGTAAAAAAAAAACAGGAAAAAAAAGTTTTATATTAAAAACAGACTATTGCACAGTAGAGGCATTACATACAAACCACTGACAAATGACCCACAAGCTCAGATAAAAAGTCTGCATGAGCAGCAGAGCACAAACTTTGAGTCCTTTCAAGCTCCCCCTTAATCTGAAAACTCCTCTGACTCATCAGGCTGTGTGACGTAAAGAGCGCACACTTTTACATCCACAATGAAGCCAGAGCCGAGAGCAACAGACTTTAATAAGCCCTTTCATCCTCTAAACCGCAGTGTGCTCTGTGCATCGGTTATGGAACGACTCCAGAGAAAGCTAAAAACGTCTGTTGATGTTGCTCACTTATAAGAAATCAACTATATCCATGGCCTTTCACCCCTGTCTGTGGTTCAGTTCATATATCTGTAGTTAAGAAGTAATGAAATAATTACGTGGCTTTGATCAAACTGAGATTTTTTTTTTTTTAGAAGCAAAACTGTGTTTTCATTTCCTAAAAGATTGCCCTTAGTAGATACACTAAAGGCCCTCTGTCTGACAGTGGTATGGTGTTTTAATAAATTAAACCAAAAAAAAGTGCTACTAATCGGTGATGGAACAGGGAGAGTTTTGTTTTTCAAACCAGAACTAAAAGTGTGACCTTCCTTTACAACAACTGCGCCGCCAGAAATTCAAAGTTCAATTTAACACCAGAAATAAAGACAAGAGTGGACAATGTATCTGCATAATTGTTACTATCATCCAATGAGGTTAGAAGAACTGGGCCTAAATCAATAAGTTAATGTTTGATTCTGGGTGGGAGAGGGGAGGGAATTGGCCATTAGGAGTTTTAAGGATTATAGCAAAACATGAAAAAGTCCTGGCAGATCCCTAGCAATAGATTATTTTTACAGTATTGAAAAAGTAAGAAAAACAATATATATATATATAATATTGGTTATTGGCCCTTACAGCAATAATTAACATAAACTTTATTTACCCATAACGTCCCAATTTTCATTTTAATATCCCCTTTTTGTTTTAGTGAACTAGAGGTAAATAAAATGCACATGGACTTTCAAAAGCCAACATTTCCAACATGTATTTATTTTTATCCTGGGTGAAGGACAGGCACAAAGGAGCAGCTAACTGCGAACTGGAAGGCATCCCTGCAAGCTTTGCTTCTAACACAATTTTAATGTGAATGTTGCTAATTTTGCTTTGCAGAAATCACAAAAAACTTAATTAGATGGAGTAGAAATCATGTGTGATCGTACATGTTCACAATTGGATTTAGGTTTGGACTTTAAATGGTCCAATCTAATGCATCCATATATGCAAAAGAAAAGCATTTCTCCCCAAAAGGTTTGATTAGAAATCGCTCTGCAAGGTTTAATGTGTCCCTCTACATTATTTGAGCCAGAGTAAAGACTGAACTTCTTGGCTTCCTGATTTAATAAATACCAGTTAACTAGTAGTTGTCCATTCAACTGATTTTTTAAATCCGCTAGGAGAATACATGATGGTCATCCAGAGTTAAAAAGCATCTTTGCTGCTTACTGATGCTCTCCTGATCGCGACGTCTATATCTACATAAGTTTGCACTTGTCAAATACGCTCTGTCATTATGGCAAATTGCTCGTAACTTCTTCAAGGCTTCATCTCTTATTGAACTGCCGCGTCTCTGTGATGCTCTTTGTTTAAAACTTTTTGTGTAACAAACCTCCAAGGGCTTAACCAAACAGCTGTTATTATACTGAGGTTAAAGTTAGTAGTTTAAATGTGAGACAATTAAAAAAAGTTAAGAGTTGTGAATACTTTTTGCTTTGCACAATAGTATAATAACCTAGCAGCATAATCTGACTTTCTGCATAAAGAAGCCCTCTTAACCCAGATGCCTGAATTATGCCTAAACTAATTAGGGAAGAGGACTGCTCAAAGAGGGTTTGCCTTTTAGTGCTTTAATTCGGTCAACAGTGTCACCTGACCTCAACTCCCTAGGGCAAAGAAACATGTGACAAGCCGGGAGTGCATGTGCACTTCACTCCATCTACCCAGCTGTGGAGCGAGCCTGCTGTTGATGGTGATGGGAGGGGGATGGGAGCAGAGGTCAGGCCTGAGAGCGAGGGAGGGTTGATGGAAAGAGGGGAGGACGAGGGAGGTTAATGCATGACGGGACAGCAGTAATTCTTCTCCATTAGGGTTAGTGTGTCAGCAGTGAGCTGGAGACCAATTAACAAAACTACCACGGGCCGTGAGGGAGGGTCAATCGATTAGAAGCTGCAAGAGTCCACTCAGCATCTCTTGTGTGAAACCATTTACTAAACTCATCATCATAACTGAGGAGCTGCGACAGCCAGCTCTGAATGTCCCGCAACTCTAAACCTGAGGGAGATAGCAAGTGACAGTTCCTCTGCTTTGGATGGGGGCGATGCAGGCAGAGGCAGGGGAGCAGCCCTAGGGCCCCTATCCAGCTCAGGCCCCGAACTCAGAGACACAGAGATGAAGAAAGGCGTAGAAAGAGCAGAGTCACAGAAAGTCAGGATCATTTCCATCCCTCGTTGCAGAGAAGATCCTGTAAGCACGCAACAACATAACATGCCTCAAGAGTCGAACTCGTGACCTAGTGAAACCACAGTTGTGTGGTACTGCAACAATTCAATTGTTTATAGTTTCAGATAGAGATGCACATGGAAACAGCTCGTTACCAGAATTAGTTCATTTAAAGGTTGATCTGATTGGTTAGAACTGAATTCACCATGACTTAGTGCTACTGTGCCATTCTAGCAAAGCTCTTCAATCTAATGGCTCTTACTAAATAAAGAAGATTTCTCTGTGAAAAGCATTTCAAAAGCTTGACCAGGACTGGTGCTCAGACCAACTTTAAGCTACATCACTGTGTCACCACAGGTCAACTAGTAAACAAACACAGTGCATAGATGCAGTCTAACAGGAAACTTTTTTTTCCATTTCAATATCCCTGCAAACAGATGACCTGATATCACCCCCTTATTTTACCAACGCTCTTTAAACAAGTGGTGGTAAACATTTCTAAATCCTTATCAGATCATCTCGGATCTGATCAGTACCAGCAGTGCTACAAAACAGCAACAGCATTGACAGCATGATTTATTAACACTGTCTGCCAATAGAAAAACACTGGCAGATATAGGAAATTACTCTGAAATGATGTTTATGGATTCAGTGTGTGAAGAAAATACAACAGTGAGTGGATGATGCTAACCTGACTTTTAATAAAAGCTGAACCCTTGGTTCTTTTAGTTCCTTTTTGGAGTTTACATCCAAAATTACGAAGATTCGAAATGAAACAAAGAATATTTGGGTTTAAAAATCATACATACACACTAATGTTTTTAGTGGAGGAGGCTGCCACAAGTTCCTGACAGAGGCAGTTCTTTCCCTATGGGCAGAGGTAGGAAAAAGCTGCTTTTTCAGTATAAGAGACCACTCTTGTCTCAGCGAAAATATAAAGTGCAAAATACACAACAAAAGAAGATTAGGTTTGGGGAAAAAAAGTAAGAGAAGTAAGGGAAAGCAGAAACGGTGTATCGGGATATTAATGGAAAAAAAAATGTAACAGTATTTTCTTTAAAATGTAAAAAAAAATGTGCATCTTATTTGCAAGAGAGAGAGAGGGCAGAACTTTTAATATACGACAGAAGGACTAAATCAAGGACAACAAAGATGAAACATGTCTTTTTAGACAACCTTTGTTTCTTAACCTTTGTTAAGAAACATGCTGGATGTGAAATGAACATTATGGGACATTAAACGGCTAGAATAACAACTAGTATATGATGTTAAAGATGGTTTAAAATGTAAACACAGAAATAATTCAGTCTTTGATCTAAAAAAGAAAAAAATAGGAATCCTTAATAATGGCCACTCACTGCAAGAAAGCCTAAAAAAGATAATAATGCAGTCATTTATTTTTACATCATAGTTTTTAGATGAGAAGATAAAATCTGTATCGTTATATTTCATAGTTTTATAAAAGCAGGAGCTTTTCTGATTAGTGCATCTCTTCATAAAGGCTGAATCTCTAACCTCAGATATTCTTCTAGTACGAATTGAATAATGCTTCACGGGTGAAATATTGTCCCTAACACTTGCAGAAACCAAAGCATCTAAACCACATTATGACGAAATGTTAGCAGCGTTTACTGCCAAGTCAATGAGCGTCCGGGGACAAATTCATCAGCCAGGCCCCGGTGTTGGGATGAGATGTCACAGGGAGCAGCTCAGACTGGACTACATACAGTATAATACAATCACCTCATTAAAATTTAACCACCTCCCTCTGTCTGCCCAGCTGCTGAGATGCTCTCCCCTCTAACCGCCCTTTCTCTCTCATCCTCAAATCTTCTTAGGCAGGGTCCGTTCATCCAGCTGATATCACGAGCAAAGCCGTCGCAACATACTTCGTCCCTCTGCACACAGCTCCTGATAGGCAGACGGGGAGAAGCACAAATCCCTCAGGTTTAATCTCACCTGTGCAGAGCGAATCATAGGGAGGGGAGGGGGGGTTTCAAAGTGACAGCCACCAGCCTGCGGGCCACACATAGAGGACAAGTTGGCGACAGTCTGCTACGCTGCGTAGGACCCCTGGGTAACCTTGAAGCCTGATCTATGAACTGACAGAGAGACTCCTAAACAAACCACCGTGTTTGCCAGAACGATCGGTGAGTCGCACTGAACAAACTGATCAAAAGACTGAAGCACAGTAACAGGCTAAACGTACTCCTGACTCAGGCGGCCTCATCTCAACCGCCAACCCAACCCAAATAGCTCTCATCTTCATGATAAACCTTCGTTTCTTTTCAAGTTCCAACCAGGATTAACTTTAATTTTCCCAAACAGAAGCTGCCTGCAGGCCAAAACTGAACTCTCTGCCTTCGCTCAGGAAGTTTGGAAAGAAATAAAACTCCTGCTCAATCTTATGTGTGCTTACTGTAATTCCTCAAAAATCTGTGTGAAAAGTCAGGATTTCCTTT